GGGTGGGTAAAGCTCGCCAAACACGGGTTCCGCTTGCGCAATTCAGCCGATTGTGGCAAGAAGGCTTTCTCAAACGGGTTTTCTTCCCCTGAAAATAACATTGGGGTTGGAAACCTTGTCTTGTATACACGAAAGGCTATAAGACGATGGTTTTTTTTTTTGGAAAAAAGAGTCAATTTGTTCAGGGGGTAGGAAAGCTAAAAAGGCCATGTCATGGACCCCACCTAGAACAATGACAACTCGTCACGAAACCAACAAGCGAATTTGATGAGGGAAACCTTACGGCTTGCAGAATAGCTAGTTTTGGACAGCTTTGCAATGACACTCAGGTATATAATTCAAGCACAACACCATGCGGACCGCCATACTCAGGTTCATAGTTCAGCTCGAACCAGTATACCTCCAAATCTCTTGTGTTGGCCGGATGAATGAAGAACTGAGCAATGTCTCTTCTTGGGCATGCAAACCATTTAGTCCGGATCTCACTCGCACCAGTCGTGGACAAGACATAGGTGTCGTAGCGCTCAATAATCGCGGGCTTGTTGTTCCAGGTGGTACGACCGTTGTCAAGTCTAGGTTCGACACGTGAGATGTCAATTACGAAAGGGGGTTCGCCTTTGAGACGAAACGGAGCGTTCTTGGAAGGATCAGTGTTGATCAAGAAGCGGAGACGGCAGACGTTGGCATCGTTGTCGGGTACGTAGAAGCTAACAGCGGTCCACTGTTCGTTCCCAGTCTTGTTCTTTGTTCTATCATCAGCCATCATAGGCAACGTGTCTTGGTCTCGTGCCATACGCTGTAGCTCACAGTGGCATCTTTCTGAGTAGGAAATGCAGTGTCGGGTTGAAATTTCTTGAGAGGAAGGAGCAGTACCGGATACTGCGTGTTGATGAGTGCTGCAAAGACTGGGAGTCCAAGGACGACAGGGAGAAGAGTGAGTAGATGCATTTTGTATTTGGATGAACAAGATGAGCGATGGAGGCAGCGCAAGATTGGACATGTTTGAGTTAAGATTATGTAGGTCTGTCGGCAGACATGCTGCAACTGAGAAACAAAGCTGGGTAACCGGTGTAACATGGGCACAGTTGCACTCCCACAGTTGATGTTGGACAAAGTGGACCTGCTCTGTTGTGCAGGTGATTTTGGTGATGCTCGTGGTGATGATACTACAGGGCACACGGGAGCTGGCATTCACGTGTTCGCCCGTCGGGAAGCAGTTGTTAGCATGAATGTCACAATGGTGGTAGATTTTGTGTATCAAGTGGGCGACTGTCGTAAGCCAAAGCACTAGTACTACTAGTACTTTTGTAATGTGGCGTTTGTGTGCGCAATGCCCTAATTCGACATGGGTTGGCCTGGAGAAGCTGCATCACGTTGACACAAGAATAGTGCAGCTTTGCAACGTCCTTGGTTGCTGGGGCGAATTTGGTGATGGGCTTGTATATCTGGCAGCTGTCGTACACAGCTTAGTGCTAGTGCGGAACGAGAGAGGATTGGAATGGTGGGGTGGTGAACGGCGCCCTGCAGTCAAAGCAGCCTCGGCAAGTGGGGCGTGCGTGGCTGACATCAGACATGGCTCGTTGTCGCAACCGCGACTTGTTTCTTGGTCTCTTATACACTCAATTTGGCCTTGTACCAATGAGCAAAGCATATTTCCTGCCAGCATGGCGCTGCTATCCAGATTCTGGCCTGTCTTGAGGCCCTCAGCATGCCTACGGCCAAGGCGCCCCTCGATGCGCCGCAGCCTGTACCTGGCGCCGCCATATCTCATCGATGACTATATCCCCCGTTATCATCTACTGTCTTCGGTGGACGCATCTAAGAAGCGATCGTTGGCCTATGCACACCTGCGCGAATGCAACTTGTGCCCCCGCCTTTGCGGCGTCAACCGCTACGACAAGACCGGAGTGTGCTTAATCGGTGCAGAGACGGTCAAGGTGGGAACGATAGCGCCACACTTTGGCGAGGAGCCATTCATCCAAGGGCACAATGGCTCGGGGAGCGTCTTTTTTAGTGGTTGTAACCTTCGTTGTGTGTTTTGCCAGGTATGCGCTGCTCGTACAGAAGACGACTTGCCGTTTGGCATATACATACTAATGCTACACAAAGAACCATGACATCTCACATACACGTAACGGATTTGACCTGACACCCGAGGGTCTTGCCGAATGGTACATGAAGCTGCAAGATGTTGGCCGCGTCCACAACATCAACCTCGTCACGCCAGAACATGTGGTGCCACAAGTGGTACTGAGCATACTGCATGCGCGTGAACTCGGCCTGCGCTTACCCATCATTTACAACACATCGGCGTTTGATTCGCTCGAGAGTATTAGTTTGCTTGATGGACTGGTGGATATCTACATGCCTGATTTCAAGGTGTGGCGTGACACGACAAGCAGACGGCTGCTCAAGGCAGACAAGTACACGGAAGTGGCCATGGAGAGCATCAAGGCCATGCACAAGCAGGTTGGCGATCTCTGCTTTAGTGCAGACGGCATAGCCAAGAAGGGTGTCATTGTGCGACACCTGGTCATGCCAGGCATGGAAGATGAAGGCCAGGAGATTGTGCAGTGGCTTGCGCAGAACGTTAGCAAGGACCTGATGGTGCACATCATGGAGCAATACTTTCCAAGGGCCCATGTGGGCAAGCCACGTCGCGGTCGCGCAAACTCTGAGGGTGAGGCGTCGCCGGATGCTGGCGGACAAGTCCGGTATGCAGACATTAATCGCCCTGTGCATCTGGACGCGGTTGCAGCCGTGAAGAAGGCAGCGCAAGAAGCCGGGCTGTGGAGGTTTGTCGAAGCATCGCGCCATGGCGGCTTCAACATTTGACGGGGCGGGCGTTGGTGGTGCCTGCCTGGCTGGCTCAACACCACAGCACACGCCCGCTGCCCTGGATGGCGGGGCCACCAGCACGTCACCACCCGCCGTCGGGGCAAACACGACTCTCCCCACGCACACGCCCTCGTTCACCACAATGGACGGCCTTGCCTGCATCCAGCACATTGTCCGTGACCTCAAGGTGGACCGGGATACCTGGCAGGCCGTCGCTTGCCAGTACAAAGCTGCCTTCGAGGCCCAGACTGCTCGTCTGCGCGAGCTTCAGGACGTCTGCTTCGCCACCCAAGCCGAGCTGGAGAATGAGCGAGCCCAGCAGCATCAAACCCACGCCGCCTCAGCCCTCGCCGACACTTCTCCATCCCGCCCTTCTGACGGCTTCGAAAGCCCCTTTGGCACTGCCACGATTTATTCCCTACAGAGCATCCGTGCAGAATGCTCGCCGCCATTCGCTGAAGGATGCGTCAATTCACTGTTTGACAGGGTGCACAAGTGTGCCGATCAGAGAAACTACGGCACCGCTCTCTCGGAAGTCGAGCGACTACTACGTGGTCCTCTTAGCCCCATGGCCCGCGCAGAGGGCCTCCTACTGAAGAGCAATATCCTCAGAGCCTTAGCACACGATGACATGTTTGACGCACTCGCCGTCTGCAGCGAAGCCATCGAGCTTTGCAGCCGTCTCGCCGAACTGGAGAGCTTCCTGCCCAAGATACAGCACCAGCAGAAGTTACTTCGCCATGACCTTCGTACGCTCCATCAAGCTTCCGATGTGTTGAGCGCCGCCACTAGTAGCCATGACAATCTACCCTTGCTCCAAGTGAGCGCCGCCCACAAATCCTACTACGACGAGCCAGACATGCTGCATTGTGCCAAGCGCCGATCGGGCTTTGATGAGAACCGTACCATGGAAGGTCTGCTTGTACAACTCGAGGAAAAGGCCGCAGACGTACGCGGCGTTGCCTTGACCTTGGTAGTCTTCAACTCGTGCTGACATATCCAGAACAAATGTCGGCGTACCAGTGCGCGGCTCAGGCTGCGCGCTGCCGCCAAGGCGAGACGAATGTCTGTACCGTATCGTTGGGTCAAAGAGAGAAGCGAGGGACACCACCGTATAAGCTAATCAGCAAGCGACCGACAGCAGTCGTGGGGCTTTGTGGGTTTTGTGCGAGTACCATTAGCGGCACGGCCAGGAGACTGGCAGAACATCTATTCATCGTCTTAGCTTTGCTCGAAAGAAAAAAGAAATGAATTCTCCGATTTCAATTCAGTTGATGATCTCAATGAAATCAATATTATGTATTGTTGCACCATGGTACTCTTCGATAGGAGCTCTCTTAACAACAAAGAAACACACCTTGAAAGACACATGCACCGAGCCCATTATGTCCTGAAGGCATTGTTCTTTGGCGCTAAACGATTTGTGGATTTGAAGGATGTGCTGCACTTCGCTCGCTCGTTGAAGAGAAGATATTCTGAACCTCCTAATATGAGAACAGTCTCAAAGAACTTGCCGTCTCCCGCCGCTGCAAATCATCGTAGTGCCTTGGATTAAGATATCCTCCCATTCGAAGAAAGATTCCACACTATCCTCAACGATACCATGAACACGTGCATAATTTCAGCTGACGACAATCCGATATTCAACGACCGTTCAGTGTTTCAGACACTCTCTCCAAGCGGTTGTCCGGACTCCATGGATGGCGTACCTCTTGATGGGACCCTTGAAGAACACTATACACACAAGAGCCGTGTGCTTCTAGTGCAGTTTCACTTGTTCCTACTTCACTGCCAGGTGCTACAGTCTAGGTTGGATGTCTTGGAGCGCAAACCCAGAACGGATGACGTCAAGACGGAGATACAAACGCATTATGGCAAGATCCACCGTTTTGCCTCCAAAGCCGGAAAGCTCGCAGAAAGATTTGACAACACTACTTTGCAAGCACGCAGTGAGTACTGGACTGGACGTGGTTGCGGCGGCTTGAGAGACTGGCAGTCTGCCAAAACGCATTTTGGGAATGCAATCAAACTCGACACACCAAGCAATGCGAACAATCACAGCAATTTTCAGTATAGAGGGTTACGTCCAAATGAACGGGCAGATGTACCCTTTCTGCTGCAAATTGTCACACAGCGCTGCGATAGATGGGTCGACAAAATAGAAGAAGCCCGTAAGACTCTGAGTGAGCTCGAGTGTGAAGAGATTGATTGGGAAAATGAAAAAGTAAAAGGTCGGCATTGGACACCATACCGTGGTTGCATGAAGCGCGCCGCAATGCAACAGGCAGTTATAGGTCAAAAAACCATCAAACCCATGAACCATTTGTTTAATAGCGAAGGCCAACGGGCAGACATTCTTAGCCAGGAGGAGATCAAAATGGTTCTGAAGAGGCTGGCCAAGCGAGATGGCAAGTCACTCCTCTGCAGGACGCTCAACGCGGAGGAGTGGCGTTACATTTTCCGCGGCGACTCAGCCATGGGTAAGGACAACCTGTGTACAAACGACAGTGGTGAAAGCGAAACAAAAAATTGTCTAACCGACAAAATCGTTGATCAATCTTTGCCTTCTTCGATCAACGCCTCTGCACAGCCATCACCTGAAATATCACGTAACTTGTGCGACGAACTGGAACAAAACGAATACCAAAGTGGCGGGGAAACACCGGATTTATCATCCACCAGTTTTACAAGTCATTCTCGCGCTGAGGGTGAAGGAGATGTACCATCGCCGTCATCACTGCCACCATCAGGGGGCTTGCAAGACCGAAGGAATATTACCATAGCACCTATTCACACTGATTTTCGGAAGGAAAAATCGGCGCTGAATAATGCAACATTGAGATCGGAATCAGATTCGGAGGCGACGTCAGCCCCGGCGGACGATAACTGCTCCTTTGAGGATGGTTTGGTTGAATTGCGGTCACCATGAGCAGCGTGGAAGCCGATCTAAGAAGATTATTACAGCATGTTAATTATTTTTGTGGTTGCTTAGATACACAGAGTAGCCAACAAATGAAGTAATGCTACAAGTACGCAGGCACCAGTCAATGTTTCATTACGACTCTTTTACTGTACTAATCGACAGTAGTGTTAAAACAAACCATCCATGCAGCGTTGGCAATGAGTGCATGACTCGACCAAAAGTCACCCGAATACCCATGCATAAGTGACACAAGATCGCGCTTTTGCTCGTCTTGAACGGGCCCTTCCGCTGGTCTAGCGTGACCGGTTCGATTAAGTAGTGTAGATGATTGACGGCTTCAATGAATATGTAGGAACTGTTTGAATTGAGTGTAAGCTACTAACGAAAGCAACATCACAATCTTGCACGTTTGATGCCTCTGGTCGCATCACTGCCGACCATTCTCAAATAGCTAATTTTTTTTCGGCAATCGGCCTGGCGACCACGCTCAGCGCATATTGCACATCAGACTTGAGAATTTCTTTTTCATGCACAAGGAAACAGTGCAGTATTGAGGAGAGTCGAGATACATCGAGATGGGTATCTTTTGTCAGGGGATCCTGTTTGGAAGAGGCGTATGCTGACACCAAGGCTGAAGAACACAGCTGCTTTATGGCATTAAATAGATCAGATTTCTGGAAATATTGATGAGAAAAAAGGATCGCTTCGCTTTCTCAACCTCAAACTGAACACGACTCGAGTTTCAGGATTGATGCCCCAAAGTGGATTGGGCATTCCTCGGACGCTTCTGGGCGGGACGTTGCCAAGCTGGTTCCGACTTAATGGTTTTGTTCACAAATGTTATGAATACCGTCTAGAACGCAAATTCTTCAGATGAGGAATTAGTAAGTAGAAGCTGATAACTGTCAACATGCTTATTGAATAGTAGATTTCAAGTAGAACATGGTCAGCAGCGCCGTTCGCAAGCATTTCGGCTAATAGTAGAACTTGGCTGGTATTTCTACAAAACAGTTCCACGCTAATCGCTTGACTTTTTTTTCTCTCTGTTTGCTATGTATATAGCGTATCAGATCAATTATCTTAGAAAAGAATAG